AGATAACAGATATCTCTCGCACCATAGCCATGGTTTCATACACTAGTGTTGCACTGGCATATTACCAATTCCATTCCAAGTCCCATAGATGCCACGGGCGGCACCAGGCTTCATCTTCATAACTCCTCGACTATCCCAAGGTAATACCATATTAATATAGAACGCTGTCAAGTTTTACGTGCAATAGAGCCACCATTACCTGTACATGTAACACCATCAAAGTTATGAAACTGTAACAGCACATTTAAGACTACCATCACCATAACAATGCCATAGAAGAGGCTGCTACTACTATGTCAAGGCTGTGACCACGTCATGACAATCACAAATCTTACTAGTACTATAAGCAGTGTTTCTCGTAGACGGATATTACAATATATATACACACACAGACACACACACGTATATAAATATATGTGTGTGCGTATATATATATATATATATATATATATATATATATATATATATATATATATATATATATATATATATATATATATATATATATAGCGCACACATATAAACACACACGTGTGTATATTTTGTATGTATACACATATCTATATGCATTAGTACGTGTATAAACGTATCCATACACAGACATATCCGAACACACAAACACGCGTGTACGTGACTGGATGAGATGATGGAAAAGTAATTAAAGAGAAAGACCAAAGATACATAACCACAGTCCTAGTCATCTTCGATCAAGACACTACGCAAAAAGGGAGGCAGTGTTGGTCACAAAAGACGACTAATGCTATGAAAAAGCCAAAGACTGACACGGTGGAGGCTCGAGGGAGGAGGTGGGCGATCTCGGGAAGATCCTGAGTTGTTGTTTGTTAGAGAAAGTCACACGCACACATACACGCAAACGCGAGCACGCACACACACATACACGCAAACGCGAGCACGCAACACACGCAAACACGCACACACACATACACGCAACGCGAGGCACCACACACACACACACACACAAATACACACAGTAATACGGTGTAAAAAACACCATCAAGAAATTGATTCAGAGAAGGTACTAATCTTGGTTTCAGTTAAGATAACAGAAGACGCAATATCCTTAAAAGAATGTACACACTCACACTCACACTCGCACACACACACACACACAGGCACAAACATCCATCCACAGACACGCACACACATATAGAGAAACAAGGATACAAGCAATAATACATGTACGTGTGTATGTATGTATGTATGCATATATGTATATATATATATATATATATATATATATATATATATATATATATATATATATATATATATATATATATATATATATGTATATATATATATATATATATATATATATATATATATATATATATATATATATATATATATATCACACGCAAACATACAAACACATACACATGTTTATGCGTGTGTGTGTGTGTAAGTGTGTGTGTGTGTGCGTCTGTGTTTAACTGAAAAAAAAATGCAGATATTGATTCACTGCATTAATTTTCCAAGAAATTGTAATTAAGATGTTTTCATGTGAAATGAAAGGAAGATTAAGACATCTTTTGCAATGAAACACCCACAGTATGAAAGCACGTAGTTTTCTGAAATTAAACTGTCTACCCAAAGATCGAGAGATGGACCACATTTAAAAGAGGTATCCTCAGTAGGCACTTCGAGACCATAAGTCACAGGCTGTGAATTGCGTGTCTTTTACAATACGGAGAACCTTTTCAGATTGTTCGGGCGCGTCGGCGCTGCCTCGCAATTTCAATTTCTTATATATATATATATATATATATATATATATATATATATATATATATATATATATATATATATATATATAATATATATATATATATATATATATATATGTATATATATATATATGTGTGTGTGTATATATATAGTATATATATATATATATATATATATATATATATATATATATATATATATATATATATATATATATATATATATATATATATATATATATATATATATATCAATATGTGAATGAATGAAAATATCAAGGATAAAAGTCTTGATCTTGTCTCTCGCACAATTTTACCTTTGCCTTCAGGATTGTCAGAAGGACTCATCCAAAAGTCACAGACAGAAGGTTCGAGAGATCCTTCCGGGCGGCAGAGGGCCTGGCCAGGGACTTGCGTTTGGGAAGGATCCAGGTCTGAGTTCGAGTCCAGAATAGATAGCAATGGATCGCCAATACCCTTTGGAGTCACATCTGGATCGGAGCTCATCAGAAGACACAGTCTAAATGATTTAGATTGAAACTGTCATTAAACGTAGCCTGTCTATAATAACCAAGTAACCGAATAAAATCCAAAGCATAAAAATACAACGGAATAAAACTAATTCATTGTTTTGTGCTGAAGCTGACATCCTGAAATCACAGAGGATGAGATAAAAAACAAAGAAATCCTACACTCCCTCACCTGATGCTTAAAACACCTGCTTTTCCTCTCGGGCCCATAATCCCCCATATTGGCAGAAATATGATAATACTAATAATAATTGTGACAATAATGATGATGGCAAAAGGAATACTACTAATAACAAAAATAATAATGATAATAATTATAATCCTACAACATTTAGGTGCAGACCTCGGTCCAAAAATTATATCGATGGATGACAAATTCCTCTTGGAATCTGGCTGAATCCAATTTACTCCTAAAAACCCAAGTCACAGCTAGGCTTTTACAATGACATAACGGCAATACCAGTATTAATGATAATGATTATAATACTGACGATGATGGTGATGGTTGTGATTGTGTTAATAATAATCATGGTCATAATTTACATCAATGACTGATGATGATGATAATGATGAAAATGATGTTTAACAATGTGTGAAGTCGGGTGGCGGTCTTTCTCACGAATAATGTTAATAATAATAATCGATAATAAGAATAATAGTAATAAGATAATGATAACAACAATGCAAAATAACAAATAACACTCGTACTATAAGTAACTAAATTTACAAAAAATGTCTGACATATGTTTACTCATAAAAATACCTGTAGTAATGATAATGACAATATTATTAGCAGTAGTGAATCCTAAAGAAGCCAAACACACAATGAAATCTTCCTTGTGATTATATGCCACTTCTAGAATTCATATTATTCCACAGGTGTAACAAAAGAATGTCAAATCTTAAGAAAATAATTACCTATTCGAAATATTACGTTGCAGAGATTAGATCATACTTCCAAAATGGGACATAAGAAAAAATGGATGGTAGAGTGTATAAATACTGCAAGCTTCTGTCTAATAGCAAAATAATTCATATATTAATCCTACATGGGTATTGACATTAAATACATTTTTAAATACCTAAGACAGGGATGTAATATAAAAAAGGGGTAATTGCCAAAGAAAAACAGCAGAGTACTCCAAGAGCAAAGGGTAGGTACTTGGGTTATCATTTGGGGTTCCCAACCTGTCGTTCGAGAATAACGTATTAGTGGGCTGCCAGAACTCTCCTAGTTTCACGGAGGGTACTACGGCGGCTTCGCATTTCACGGGGAAGGGAAATGAGACCGATCCCAACTAACGCAGCATGTCTGGATTGGAATTTGTGTGCCTTTGGATATTTTAGAGCCAATTATGACTTAGATTATAGTTGAGATATGACCGATACTTTTGGTGATGGAATGGCCGACAGGTTGTTAAGCATTTAAACTTTTTTATTTTATTTATTTATTTTTATTTTTTACCACGTGGGGCGCACATTGGAAAAGGTTGGGAACCGCTGCACCAGGGGTCAGTAGGATCCAGTAGCCTTAAGGAGCTTTCATACAGTACCACACCGACTCTTGCACAGAAGAGAACAACAGCATTTCACAGAGAGCTTACCTGAACTGATGCTTAAACTCCAGACATTTTGTGAAAGTGCTCGACATTGTTTAATTGGGGAGTATGACGTCACAACAATCACAGTGCCATATCCAAGTGTATCAAAATATGACGTAATCTTCTGAAAATGCCATAGCTATAGTGAAAGGGCAGTGAAAGGTAATAAATCCAGCCAGTGCCTACCTTTAAGAGAGAATACTTTTTAACTTCCCCGATGCTTATTTCTGTCACTGTTGTTTGTGCACGTGTACACAAGTGCACCCAGTGCCTGTGCAATTTTGCTTTCATTAAATTCAGTGCTTTCATACTGTGGTTATTGTCATCTTTCCTTATTTGAACTGTAAGTGAGGGTCTGGTAGCAAGGACTTGGTCTTTGAAAGGAGGCAGTCTTTGCTGTTGATTGGGAATCTTTACGTGTATGCAGTAGTAAGGCGGGTGTCATCACTACAGGGCCAGAGGACATAAGCCAGAAGGATATCTGATCTATTCGGCAGCCGCTATGCCGGGTAAGCGCTACTCCGAAAAAGCTACTCCTGTTAATCAACATTGGGTTCCCAGGAAGGAGGCGCTGAATGTCCCCGCGGGAGGAGCAGATCCAGCAGCAACCTTCGTCAAGACTTGGTAAGCTGTAACTCTGAGATCATGGATATCCTTCCTACCAGGAATTATCATCATCATTGCTTCTTTAAGAAAAAACAAACTCCTTGTGTTCATACACCTCTCGATGCCTTACCAAAGTCCGAAGAACCAACTAAATTGTTCCTACTAAAGCTATCTAGTTCAAGTACTAAGAACACTTCATTTACCTCCGGGTTGAGACTCGCAAATGGGAAATTTGAAAAGGCTTCGGCCGATTTCCATAATGCAGGAAACACGGAACATAACTGAAAGTAGACCCAACAGATGGCATGAGAGAAAGATGGACAGCCACGAGCCATTGGACGGTCAGACGAAGAGGGAGCCCTTGACCATCCAATCCGCTCCGCTTTCCTACCGGACCTTACCTTCTCGCTTACTTCAAACTTGACACTCTCTTTGGGCATAAACACAGCTCTTGCGAATATGATAGCTAAAGTTAGACAGATACAGATATTAGAAGAAAACAGTTCATCATTCAT